TTTGGGCCAGTCACAGACTCTCAGCCCAACCTGCCTCACAGGGTTGGTGTTGTGGGGATAAGATGGAGGAGGAGATGTAAGCTGCCTTGAGCCCTTTGTAGGAAAAAGGCAGGATATAAATCGAAATTAACGAGCTGGGAAGCCCCCCTGCCGGCCACCTCCGTCCTCCCTCTCCCGAGTTCAAATCGTGGCGCGGCCCACGCCGTTCCTTCGGCTCCCATCTCTCCGCACCGCCTCCTGCGGCCTGACGATAATGCCAGCCTGCACTGCAGGGGTGTTGGGCGCATGGCCGAGACAATGCGCGCAAATTGCCTGCACGGCCACATAACGGCTTTCAGATTATAAAAGAGAGGAGGGAGGGTCTGCTACCCGGCATTCCGCATATGCTCAGAGGACATGCCGTCACAGAGTTGCCCCCTCCAGAGCACCCCTTCTGCTCCAATGTATTTATTTATTACATTTATATCCCACTGTGGAGTTCTCCCCTGGTCTCCCCTCCAAGCTCAGGCCAGCCCGAGACCTGCTTAGCTTCAACACCATGGTTGCTTTATGCGCCTTCAGACATACCCTGGACGATGACGGAGGAAAGGACCTGCAAGGGGTCACCCTACCCCCATTCCCCCCCCCCACACGGTTTGCGATGAATGCCTCTCGCCGTCCCTGAACCCTTTTCTGTGTGCTCTTCGTGGGGTGCTATGACCAAGCCATAAAGAACCGAAACAAGAGGAGTGAGTTTGGATGCCAGGCTGCTTTCAAAGAAAGTTTCCACAGAAAACCTGCACGGAGGGTGTGGAGGAGGTGGCAGGGAAATGCTGGCTCTGGCTTTTGCGGATAGAGTGCAGCAGTTCAAGGGTGCTCTATTTTGCCATCATTGCCAATAGCTGAGGAGGAAGAGCTGGCAGGGTCACAGAGCGTGGAGGTCCGTGGAGGGTGTCTTGGCCACGGGCCCCCAGAACCTGGAGCCGGCACTGTTTCCATCCAAAGCACTGACAGTTGGCATCTAATGTTTAGCAGCTTTACCTCTGACTTTGGAAGGCCTGCTATGCTGCTCTGAGCAGACGCTGTTGGGAGATCTTTTCTCCTCCACTGAATCTGTGCTTAAAGCAGAGATGGAGAATCTTTCCCTTAGAAAGGGCCAGGGACCTACATGTGACGTTAACAGCCCCCCGGCGAAATCTGGCATCTCCCAACGGGAAAAGGAGGCAGTTCCCAGAGGGGTGGCTCAGCAAGGGCCAGCTCTCCAGCTACCGGAAAACAAGATGATACTAAGGACTGAGCAGGATTTGCCCCATAGTTTTTGGGCTCCCCACACCAGGTGGACACCCCGACGGGTACCGCCTGTTTGTCCCGGCCATTCAGGGGTAGACTGCCCCTGCCGCTGGAGGCTCCGTTGGGCTAACTCGGCGATTCGCATCTCCTCCTCGAACGTACCCAAGCCCTGAGAAGATGGCGACGCTCAGAAAGCCCCGGCCAATGCGGAACAACCGCTCCCACTCCGCCGCCACCGTCTCCCCCACCTCGTCGCACCACTTCCTGGTATGCCAACACCAGGTGCAGCGACCAGGAGATAAGGTGGGCGAGGCGGCCGGGGAGGGGCGCAGGCACACCGTGTGCCAAGAAGCTTCTGACTGGTGGCATCGCGGGGAGGGGGACACGCTGCCGGGAGAGCCATGATTCATACTGGATGGGAGCTGCCGAGCTCAGCAAACCACAAGGACTTATTAAAGTACAAGGGCTGCGGAGCAGAAACACCCGCTCCGAGTTATCTATTGCTGCAGTTTCCCCTCAAGTTCCAGCCAAGCGAGCTAGGAGCGCCCATTCTTTCGATGGAGGGAAAGAGGACTCACAAGAGTTTGCAAAAGCATGGGCAGAGTGCAGAGCACATGCCAAAGGAGGGTTTGAGGGTCAACGAAGCCCCTTGGGCAACGGGTACCCCTTGCCCAGCAACCCCTATGCCCAGAGAAATATTTGTGCATACTTTTCCCTCCCCTTCAGAGGAGGGCGCAAGGGAAAGCTGAAAGCACCAGCCCCTGCAAAAGGCCCGATTGGTACCGCAGTGGAATGGAGTCAGGGGGCTTGAGCAAGTGAGCCAATCTACACACAGGTAGGGAGTTGTTCGCCAGGTGTCTCAGTAGGACTGGGGTCCAGGAATGCTGGAAGCCACCCACTCAGCCGGTCTGATGCAGGATGGAATCCTTTCTGGATCCCAGATATGCCAACAGTGGGTTTTCAAAAGACAGACAAAGGGATTACAGCAGCTAAAAATACTTGTGGTTGTATCTCCCCAAAGCCACGAATCCAGTTTTCACCCTTTTGCCTACACTACATGATAAGGGTGCTATGTTAGGAAATGGCACCTGACCCCCCCCCACCAAAAAAATAAAGAGGTACAGACCCCCTATTGCTATCAGGACCTCCAACTCCTGCAGGATTCTACTGGCTGCAACACGTTTGGTCAGACTTCTAGACATCTGTACGACAACCCTGTAAGGTAGGACAGAACTGTGACTCTCAGCAAGCCACGACTGAGACCAGAGTGGCTGGCACAAAACCACATAGTGTGAACTCTCAGTGGTGTGTGGGGTAGCAGGGGAGCTTGTCCCCAAAGACAAGAGGCTGCCCGAGGCCCATAAGCTGCTCGGGAAGGAGAATTTAAAGAGCTGGCAAGTGGGAGGAGGAGTCTCACATAACTAGTTTGGGATGGGGGTGGAGAACGACAGACACCCCTCAAATAAAACCTCGAGGGTGAAAGCAGAAGGCGTGGGGGTCGGAGGGGCAGGAGGAGAGAAGGAAGGCCCCAGTGAAACAAAATGACACCGAGACTAGGAAACAGGAAGAAGATTTGAGCAGCCACAAACTTCCGGGGTGGAGAGGAAGAAAGAGAAATTACAAATTTTGCCCTTTTCTCCCATGTACCCTGTTTGCTTGGGGGAGTCCTTTGCATCACCTCCTAAAGGAGTCCAGAAAATAACAACACCCCGTCACTGCTTAGGGCTGGGCACTCAAGTGTCTGGCGAGGAAACTCTCTGCACTGGCTCAGAGTGGCAGGGAGAAGGCACTCTGCACATGCTTAGGGGAAAGAAGACGGTGCTCTGCACATCTCCAAGGCAGCTGTCTTATTATTCAGCATGCCCTTGGAAGAGACCCTCGGCTTCAAGAAGTGACGGTGGGGCAAAGGCACTCGGCACCCCCTTCGCCACGGAGCACCGAGCAGGGAGAGAGTGCAGAGGGTTTTATGAGCCAGGAAGCTTTGGAGGGGGAGCAGCGAGCGAGAAACGGGAAGGTGGAGTCATCGAGAGAACATTACAGGGTGGGACTCGGCCCCGCGGGGCCGTGGGGCGAGGCAGCTGGGTGGGGTCCCGGAGTGGGCGTAGACTGGGAGCAGAAGGGGACGCTTGGGAACAGCCGAGGGGGCCTGTCGCGTGCGTTGGAGAAGAGCGAGACCCCCGGCGACCTCCACAGGGCACCCCAAAACCCCCTTTCGGGGGCTTCTCCGTTCTCCATGCATCCTCGCCACGGAAGCAAGGACCACGAAGACGCAAAATGGGCAAGGACCACCTAAGCTCTCACATGCCTTTCCCTAGTCAGCTTCCCCTGCAGATGTGGAGGCCGGTCAGCAGTGTGACAGGCTGGCATTCCACAGGCTAAGCGTCATCCTCGTCAAAGGAAATGGGGGTGGCCCACTTGTTGAATTTCTACCTGTCACACCATGTTTCGAAATGCACACCGTGAACCCTCTTTTCCATGCTGGGTTATCCATTCCGAGAGATGGGAAGAAACACACAGGGAGGTATCTGAGCATGCACAGAGTTCTCAGCCCATTGTGCAACGAGAGCTGGCCTTGGGATTTAGAGAGTGAGTCGCGAAGGCCATGATTAGAAGGGAACAGTCCGAGCTGGCGAACATTTTGCTTTTGGAAACACAGCAGAGAAAATAACCTTTTTTTAATGGTTCTGCTTAACGGACAGCCGAAAGCCTCAGGACGTAGCGGATTTTTCTCTTCCTCTGGGTGGGATTGCCGGGACAACATCTGGCAGCTTCATTCCCACGTCCCCTGGAAAGCCACGCGCACAACCTGGGGCTTTCCTCTCCTTCGTACAGCCGAAAGCTGGCCGGACCCGATGTGACCCTTCAGTCCGAGCGCGACCCAGCCTAATCCCCAGCCCTACAAACCTGGATCTGCCCCGGCTGCGGCTTACACCGCCCACGAGCACTCAGCAGGATCCATCGCTCTGACTCTGCTCCCTTGCACAGCCCCCCGCTTTGGACAACCCCACCGCGGCCTGCACGGCCACAGAAAAGCGCTCCCCCTGCTCCCCCCCCCCCGCTGCCCCCTGCCTCAATACCGCGGGTGTTCACAGGGTGGAGCTGTGGGACGGCAGGGCAGCGCGGGGACAGGCCGTGATCCTTGTGGGTGGGGAGGAGGGGACGGAGGAGGAAGCAGTGCTGCCCCCAAAGCTGCCTGGCACTTTTCCGTGCCACCCCGCCTTTGCAAGAGTCCTTGGACGCTGGGCACGCCCTGGCTTGAAATTATAGGCCCGGCTGTTATCTGCGTCTTCCTGGCACGCAATGGCCACTGCTCGCTGTCGACGCAAGCTTGCGGCAATATCGCTTTGGCAATTTGGGCCCAGCCGGGGGGAGCAGCAAGCTGCCCCGCGCCCGATAAAGGTCCTACTTTCTCTTTCTCCCCCACCCACTGCAAGGGCCTCCGCCCAAAGCAGCCGGCTGCCTGGAGAGTACGTTGCATGCCCCCCAGCAGCATGCGCTGACACCCACCGCAAAGGGCCAGGTCTCCCACCCGGCTGTCTGCACCCAGGAGGCAAAATCAAAGCCCGATTCATGCCTGAACAGAGAGGAAAGGGGAACCCATCCCAGAGGCAGAGGCCGACAGATGGATATGGGAGACATCACTCCAGGCGAGGGACCGGGGTGAGCCCCAGGTGGCACGTGGCAGGGCAGAAGAGCTGCCCTGGCCCAGAAACGGGTTCCCAGGTTCTTACCCCATCCGGTGCCCATGTGGCTGGCAGAGAGCAGCTGAGAAGTTGGTAGCAGTGCGGCAAGCAGGCCCCGGCCCTGCCCAGCACAGCCTGACCTACTTCTCCTTCCGACTTGTCACCTGCTCTCTTTCTCCCTCCCCGGGGAGGGGAACTTGGCCAAGCCACGCCACCATCGCCCGGGAAGAAACCCCCTTCCTGGAGCGCATCGCCGGCACGTGGTGCCCCCTTCTCGGCGTGCAGAGGGGCACACCCCTCCGGGCGAGCGAGCGACGCGCTGCTTTCAGCACACGGCGGGCCAGGCCACCCAGGCCTGGCACAAGAGGGCCGCCGGCACTGTCTACCGGGCACCGGGGGGGCGGCTCGGAGACCACCAGCCCGGCCCCCCGAGCTCGCCTGGCAAAGGTTGGAGGGCACGCGTCCCTCCCGCCAAGCTCGCCCTGCCTCTTCTTGGCCATGCCGAGCCACTGGCGCCCTGCCCGGCTTTCGCCACTCCCCCCACACGCTCGCCGCTGCCAAGCCGGGCTCCTGTTACAGCACGGCGGCCGAGGTGGGGAGCCGTGCCACGGGGTTGCTAAGGAGCGCACCGGAGCTCAGGGGCAGCGTCGCGCCCACCCCGGGAACAAGGAGTGGCACGGAGCGAGATTTCTCGGCGGTTTCATCAGCCACCCCCTGAGGAGACGCTCCCGACGCCGGCGTTGCCACTCCTGCCTCCCTGCAGCTGGGGCTCCCACGGCAACCATGCCAGGGGGCCACACAGGCCCGGCTAGGCCGAGCCTGGCCTAGGCCGCCACCTGCGTGGCAAGGCCTGGCGGACCCGGCACAGGCCAAGGGGAGACGCGGCTCCGGCCACCCTGCAGGGCCTACGGTGGTGTTCGACAGGGGCTCATCTGCACTGAAAGCCACACTTCGGGTTGCCAGCGTAGCCCCGATCTTAAGCAGCCGTGTTGGCAGGCAGCAATCTCCAGGGGAAAACGGTCTGCGGCACAAATATGGCGTTGTGAGGGAGGACGCTTCACCCGTTGAATTTCTGCCTGTTGCGCCGCCTCCCTGCCTCTGTCTGCTGAGAAGTGAACAGTCAGGCTGGAGGAAGTCGGCCTCCAAACTCAGGAATATTCTGCCACTTGCTCCCAATTTCACCCTGCTGCACAAACAGACCCACAACATTATCTCCTCGCTTAATTAAATAAAACTTGGCTTAAGCTGTGAGCTAGACAGAAAACTGGGTTTGGTAGCTCTCATCCTGCCCTTCAGTCTAGACGTCCTTTCTAGTGATTCCTATGTAGGGGTGGCTGAAGGGGTGGCTGTAGGGGTGAACTTGAAGCCAGTTCAGGCTTCAAGGAAAGCAACTCTGCCCATGCTCGGAGGCTCTTTTGATTCCGATCTCAAGTACTCCAATAAAAGCCTGTTTTCTCACTGACTCGGGTAGGTTCATTCGCCATTTGCATTTCACTAAATGAGTTAACCCATAAGCAAAGGGGGTGGTGGGGTTTCCAGAGAGAAGCACTAACCTCAGGTGCCGTTGCCACGCTGCATCTCCAGAGACCCACAGAGTCCGCCCAGCACCTCGCCTGTCAAATAAGGAAACCATGGGGAGGCGGGGGCGTCACCAAGGGGGCCCTACGCACCCACCCCTCTGAAACAATTCTTCACTTGAGAATCATTCCACCGAGAAGGAGCTGAACTCTGCACATGCTCATAGGCCTGCCTCAGCACCCAGCCAGCGCGAAAGATTTTGTTTAAAAAGAGAAAAAGTCAAGGGTAGATACTAAAAAGACCCGGGGGGGGGGGCAGCCCAGAGGGCTAAAAAAAAGCACATTTTTTTCCTATGCACAGTGACATATGCTCTAAAGTCTGTGTATGTATGTTTTCCAAAGGACCCTGTGCTGCAAACACCCCATTTGTTGAAAGTGTTGTGTGGGTGTGAGTCTTACAGCAGCTGTTGGGGTGCTGATGAATTTGGGGGTGCCTCATGCTGAGTCCTTCCCTGACGCGCTCATGTCAGACCCACTAAACATATCCAGCTTCAATCCCCTTTGGCCGCCCGCTCGCTCACGGGGCTCCCTCCCCCACTGCCTGCTCATGCAGAAGGACACCTGGGGACAAGAAGCAGGTGTATTCTTAGCCGTACCTCCACCTCCACCTGGCTCACCCTTGCAGTGCCGGTTCGGAGGCCTCGGGGCAGCCGGTCTGCGCAAGTAGGCAGACGTGGGTGGCAAGCCAAGTTACCTCCCAGTCTCCATGGGGTAACCACTGGGAGCAACACCCTACAGGTGGGCAAATATCTACCTTCAGAGAGGGAATGTAAAAGCTTTAACCTATAAGAGCTTGGTGGATGCACAGACAAATCCTTCCGTTGCTATGCAGGCTTATCTTCCAGCCTAGGGTGCACTCGAAGAATGGGGGAGACAGAATTGTAAGACCAACTCCCTATTTAGAACCCCAATACCACAAGCACTAATGACCATCTCTGCCCTCAGCCAGGCCCTGAGTCCCCCAGAGGTGTTTGATTCATCACTTCGATTCACTTTTCAGTTAGGAAAATATCCAACAACTTCTAACCGCTGTCTGCTCTGACATTTTATCACATCCTCCTTGTCCTGTGTGCTTGGATACACGGAACGTGTTGCTTTTTTAGCACCTTGCGGGGTGGGTACAAGGGGGTGTGATCTAGGGAAGGAGCCCCCCGGCTCTGTGGCCACAGGAGGGGCAGCCTGGGCATTTGAAAGGGCAGAGTCAACCCTGCCAGGATGCGAACCCACACTCAGCCCTCGAAAGCAATGCCAAGTAAGCAGTAGTTTTGGGTGTGTCCTTAGAGAACAGAGTCCAAGAACCAAGTTGGCCCAAAGGAAAACACAGCACGGGCACTCAACCGACCACTTGATCCCTGCCAGCTTGGTTCCCGGGCCGGCCGGCCTTGCCAGCGGGAGCCTCGAAGTAACCAAGCCAGGCCTTCCATTCCAAAGGACACCTTCTCATTTCAGTCCAGGTTTGCCTTTGGCACTGGGTGTTGTTCAAGGCAGAGATGACTGGCAAGCAGTTTAGCTCCCTGCTTTCGGGGAAGACACACCGGAGAAGATCCCTGTCGGGTGCTTTCTGAAGCAGTGCCAGAGAGCTTTGGGAAGGAACAACAGGAAGCCAACACCCGCTCTTGCTCATGAGAAAACACTGCCGTTGGCTTTCCAAGTGAAAGCCAGAAGGCAGGGGATCGAGGCTGGCTGGCCCAGCTCGGCAGCCTGACAGTCTAGCATGTTGTGAGTGTGAGAATCCACAGCCAACAACGACAAATCCCGGGATAAACGAGGCCGTAGTCCAGCAGTTTGGGGAAAGCTGTCTTAGAAAGTGCGGAGGGAGTCAGTGCTGCAAAAGTCAGAGGAAGAGGAGGAGGCGAAGGGAGCTAGAACCAAACAGCCACTTTGGCCCAGTGGGACATTCAACACCTGATATATCCCTTCCTGGGAATCGCCCAGCCGATGGGCATTTCTCTACCCAGCCGTGTCTACCTGGACAAACCACCAAATTCCCAAGGAAGAAAAAATATTGTGCCACCCATTCCCCTCCCCCCCGGCCACCCCAACAAACAACAACAACAACAACAACCCGAAAGAAAATAGTATAAGTGCAACAGCTTTACAGAATTTGAATAAGGAAGGCCTTTGGATGGGCTTGTGGTACCAGAAAGATGTCCACAACCTGCTGCAAGGTACATCCAGGGTCCTACCTGCCTACCTTAAAGAGAGAGAGAGAGAGAGAGAGAGAGAGAGAGAGAGAGAGAGAGAGAATGGGAACAGGCCTACTGAAAATGTGGCTACACTTCACGCCACCTCTGACACAGAAAAACTGTAGAGAGAGCACAGCCAATAGCCAGGCCTGTGAGGGATACCCTAACACGTTCCTTAGGGTCTCTTCCCTTACCCTAAACCCACCACCCATGTTCCCGTGCATCCAAGGACCTAAAATAACTCCTGTCATGGCCAACTCAACAGGCACAATTCCATGGGTTGTAAGCGAAACAGAGAGAGATTCCACAAGGCATAAAGTAGGTGGGTATAATTCCCTCCCCCCAAGCCTCCTGAAGCAATTGAGACCTATGGGGGAGCCATCGTGTTGGCACCCCCCTCGGTTCTCCCGACTAGGCCTCCCCAGTTGCCTTCCATGCATAGAAGTGAATGAGTCACCCACTGCTTCACAGAATACCCATCTCCATTCATTCCTATGGAGCAAGGCCATGATAAGGGGTGTTACCAACAAGCTGTGGGGGGAAAGGGAGAGGGGGCTATGATACATCTACAGATCAACAGAATGTTTTCACAACAAGGGTTGGGAAACTGCGCGCGTCTGTCCTCATTACACCCTAAGATGTTCTCTAAATCCTACCACACCCCCTGGGAAGCCGGGGGAGGCCAGGAGGGAGCAGGGGGGAGGGCGGGAGATGCGGCGGGAGGGGGAGGAGGCTGTGGAGAGCAGGGGAGAGAAATGGTGGGCGCTGGGAAGTAAGAGCACGGGGGGGGGCAGAGGAGAAACGAAAAGGGAAGCTATGGGGAACTGGAGAGATGAAAAATATGAGTGGGGGGAAGTGAGGAAAACGGGGGGGGGCGAAGACACCCACATAGTCCTGCCCGGGGTTGGCACTTTGCTCTGGCGAACTCCATGTGGGGCGGTCGAGAGAATCTGTTCAGGAGGGGGAAAGAGCAAAGCGGGGAAGTTTTGATCCGCGGATCTGCCGCGGGGGAGGAAAAAAAGATCGCGAGGTGGGGGAATGACCCGGGATCAACTAGAAGGTGGGTCACCAGGGCAGGGAGACCCCCGCCCCATCTCACGCAGTCCTTCCGGCGGATCGGCGCGGCCAGGGACCGAACTCACCCCTTGCCGGTCTCCGCGACGCACAGGGGTGTTTCTCGGTACGCTTCGTCGAGCGGCGGGGGGGGACAGCTCGGTGCGTGCTGGCGCTGGCCGGTCTCCGTGGCGGAGTGTCGGGCGCGATCCCTCCCTCTGCCTGCCTGGCCGGCCCACCCTCTCGCTCCCCCCCACCCAGCAGCACCACCAGCAGCGCTCACCTGTCCTAGCCACGCCCCTAGCTCACCTGTCCTCCCCACCTACCCGCCCGCCAGCTTAGCAACAGCTGCACCGGGCGCCCTCCCCCGATAAAGAAAGCGAGGCCGGACCACCTTC